TGAGATAAAACTCTAATGTCAAAGACCATTTGTAAATAAATTTTCTGAAGAAAACGGAAATGGTGCTTGACCGTTCAAAACTTTTCTTAAGTGATTGCTTACACCCTTAATAAAAAGATCTCCAAGTCTCTGTCTCAAGTCCCTCCTTCAGTGTAAGTCTATGTGATTACTATTATTATTGTCACATAGATTAATTCTGAGGGTTAGTTCAAATATGATGACCATTGAATGAGTAACAACAGTATCAACACCCAATTTTACAGATATTTGGCCTACAGGTTGTTGTTAAAGAAAATATTCTCTAACTTTACGTTACACTGGGAACATATTTATGCTATGGGTTTACTGTTAGTAATCTGAAATTTCAACAGTGACCTCTTTAACTGGTTAATAAACATTTCTGCATCAGCTCACATGCTTGCATGGAACTCCATCTTGTGGCCGAGAGGCAAAGTTTAACCCCATTCAGGGCATATTAAACAGCCTCTAGATTGACATTCACAGATGCAAACCCTGGATTTAACATGAACACATCAAAGCCAAATTCAGAAGGACAAACTTCTACATGGGACTGGGAGATAAAATGCCTTTCATTATTTTTCAGCCTTTTGACATATACATCTCAATATGAATTTATGAAATAGTTTAAAAGGGTGTTTTTGTAAATCAGAAAACAAACCAAACAGCCAATATGCAGATGAGTTTGTTTCTTTATCGGAATAGATTTTTTAAAAATGAGCGTTTCATCACTTCCTCACCAGTGGATCCTCTGCAGTGAATGGCTGAAGCGTTATAGACTCGTAAGTTCAAACACCTTTAATGATGGATTTGTTTCTTATAAACACACAGCTTTTGACTTTACAAGATGTTAACTGATGGACTGGAGTGGTGTGGATTACTGTGATGTTTTTCTCAGCTGTTTGGACTCTCATTCTGACGGCACCCATTGATCCATTGCTGGGCAAGTGATGTAATGCTACGTTTCTCCAAATCTGTTCCTACAAACAAACAAACTCATCTACATTTTGGATGGCCTGAGGATGAGTAAATAATCAGCAAATTTTCATTTTTGTATGATCTATTCCTTTTACTATTTTGATGCATGCAAAATATAATGCATAATAACAATTTATAAGTTATAATATTATAGTGCTAAATCAACCACACAGGTCACGAGTCAGCAATAATGTCAGCAGAGAGCCAATCAGCCCTTTTTGTCTATCTGCATGGAAATTCAGTACAGGTTTTTCCAGTATTCCATGGAAAACATACAAGACAATGCTGTTGGTTGGGTTTAGGAACTATAACTCTATTTCAATAAATCAATTCTTAAGAATTGTTTTTGCATAATGACTCAAAAATGTTGTGGGATTCATCACTTAATCATATAATAAAATGAATATTGCTATTTATTACCATCTACTGTTATATTGGTGCATATAAAAGAAAACTAAAACAGTAAAATCAAGTTATTACATTAAAGGGATCATATGATGCGATTTCAAGTTTTCCTTTCTCTTTGGAGTGTTACAAGCTGTTCATGAATAGATAAGATCCCTAAAGTTGCAAAGACTAAAGTCTCAAAACCAAAGAGATATTCTTTATAAAAGTTAAGACTCATTTGTCTCGTCGCGCCGGGACACAGCATCACAGTATGGTAAGGGTCGACGCGTTTCAGAAAGGGGGGGCATAGAGGAGAAACAATAATGTACAGTATGTGGAAAATAATGTGTTTTTTGAACCTTAAACTGCATAAACACATTTCATTACACCCAAATGGTTTAGAGTTCCACCTTTCCATTTTTGATTTAAAATATTTTAAGTTAATACATACAAAAACATGTATTGACATATATTTAGCAAATAAACTGTCCAGAAATTAAAGTCATGTTCAAAACAAAAGAAGGGTGGGACAAACTTGTGCTGGACTGTGTGTAAGACCTCAGATGAAAGTACACTCCTGCATTACGTAACTCTAAAGAAAACTTTACACCAGTCCTCACGTCAAACACCACATTAACAACAACAACGTATGGACACTTCGTGTGCTGCTTATTACAAATAAAAAATAATCTATTACTGTCGTTAGGCAAAATTGTATTTTTGAAGGGTCGTGACTGAACAACATTGGACAATGCCTGTGTCTCAAAACATTTACGAGCCCCTACCTAGACAGCATTTTGAACACACGATCCTAGTCAGCAGCAGTTCAAGTCAGAAAACCCAAAAATGCTGCTTAGATAGGGAACGTAAAAGGTTTTGAAACACAACCACTACTGTAGCGAGTCACAAGCACAAACAAGCTAACGTTACATGTTTGAATGACAACTCGCATAAATAAGACAAACCGAGTTGTTTAAGAACATGTTTTAGAAAATGTATTTTTAAGAGCTTGAACGTCTAAAATATTACTACTGTAGGTCATATGAGCCGAAACGTTACAGTTGCTGTCTTTGTAAACAGCCAAGTAGCCATTAGCTTGTTGTGTTTTTCGCTTCAGATCCATTTAAACTCCACTGGGCTCATGAGAGCTGTCCTAGCGATGCGGTTTTTGACTTGCAACATATTTTAAAGCAAGAAATCGCAGTGGTCAACTCTTTATGTTTAGTTCAGCAGTAGGCCGCGGGCCGAGTCCCCGGACTCACCAGTTGGTCATGTCCAGGAAGAAGGCGCAGCCAGCCGGGTTGAGCTGAAAGCCCAGCAGCCTCTGGAACTCCGAGATGAGGACATCTTTATCCGTGGTGCCCATGCAGCTGAATTTTTGCATGAGCTCCGGATCCAGGTCTATGTCCATGCCCTCCATGAGCATGCGGCTGTCCCGGGGATAAGTTTTAATTGAGTCCGAGGCCTTCTCCAGTCATAACAAGCGACCCGATAACAAGCTCAGTACGCATGGCTGCGGGCGGGGCGGGGCGGGGCGTCACGCGCGACGTAACAATGGTGCGGGGAACGTCAGCTGTTGCTAATCGACTGGGTCTGCGGCGTGTCGTAATCCGGAGCATTCATACAAACCAGTACTAGGCCCAATGATACTGTAGTGCATATAAGGTGGTACTTTGACTCATATACAATGATGTTGAATGATTACCTAGTTAATTTACCGTTGTATTCACATGATATGTCTAGCATATGTCAGACAAGCCATTGTATTGCCATGGCACATACTCAATAAACATTGAATTACTAATAAAGTTGAGTACGCTTACTAAAGTCCTGTGGCAGTACCATAGTAATGATTTGCTCACCTTATTCTTTATAACAGAGTGTATATTTATTTACATATCCACTCTTAACTAAAATAACAGCACTGTTTTCAAGTTATGCAGGTAAGAAATCTAGTGCACATTGGATTTTAAATAAAATGATTTAAAATAGTTTTATATTATTTTAATTAAATTATTATTATTTTTATTGTTAAAATAAATTATTTTTATTTTTAAATGAATTATATAATTAATTAATCAAATAAAATGATTAAAATACATTATTATTATTATTAATTTACATTATTTAATGAATTAATTATTGTATTTATTTATTTAATAAATCCTCCTTTAACCCATTGTTTCTAAAGTAAATATATCCAGTGCATATTGGATATTTAATTAAGTTAAGTTATTTTATTTAATTGTTTTAATTATTTTATATAAAATTATTTAAAATATTTTCATTTAACTGTTTTAATACAATTATTTTAAATTATTTTATGTAATTGTTTAAATGATTTGTTGTATTTAGTTATTTAAATGACCCTCCTTTAAGAGTCTAACCCCATTGTTATGTATAATGTGCGTTGGATTTCCTAGCTGCATAATTGTAACACAGTGCTGTTATTTCAGATCAAAGTTTCTTAGAGGATGACCCTACTACTTGCCAGCCCCACCATTCTGTGTGAGAGTCTCAGTAACCTGATTAGCCAGCCTGTCAGTAATAATAAGGCCAGGTCTTGGATCTAGGACCCATCGCTGCGTCAGCTTGGGTGAGATGACAAGAGAGACGTGGAGAGCTAACCACAACAGGAGACAAAGGAGTGAGTAAAATCTGTGTGTTTCAAATGTTTTGTGCTTGCATGTGTGTTTTTCACTTCAGAGATGGTGATGTGGGCTGAGCAGATATTATTCTGTAGCACTTATAATGTAATATACTTTTGTACAAAACATGGGATGTTAGTGTACTTTTAATGGTGTAAATTTCAATAAGGAAAAATGGTTCCAAATAGTATCGGAACCCTTCTTAGTGTTAAATGCTACTGTATTTAGTAGATTCCATATAGAAAATACATTTTAGAGCAGGACTAAAGACCTAAAACCATTATTGTTGTAAATTAAATTGTAATAATTTAATTCAATTTAAAGTTGATTTTATTATTCAAATTATATTATTTTTTATTTTTCTTATTTTATTCATAAATAAAAATGTAATTATTTAATTAAGCGTGAAGACCTTAAACCCTAACACAAATAACTTTTTTCAGCATACTGTTCTAAACTTTAATAATCTAACAAAATTTAATCAAATTTGATTTAAATGATAAATTAAATTATTTAGTAAACCATAAAGACCATGAACCCTAAGGCTAAGAACTATGTCAAGATATTGTTCTAAATTGAAATGTAATAATCTAATACTAAAATAAACTTATTTAAATTAAGCTTTAATAATTTAATGAAATTTACATTTAAAATGTATTTTATTATTTGAATTACATTATTACATTTTTATTTTATTATTTAAATGTTATAGTCAAGAGTAAAGACCTTAAACCCTGACACAAAGAACAATTTCAACATATTGTTCTACATTGAACTTTATTAATCTTAATAATTATTTCATTATTTTATGATAACAAAAATATATTTTTTAATAATTATTGTATTTAATTATTTAAAAAACCCTCCTTTAAGAGTCTAACCCCATAGTTTCAGCTGATGTTATTTCGGGCTGTATTATGCACATTTTAATGTAATTTAATGATTTGTGTTCAATTGTTTTAGGCTGCAAGCTTCTGAGTTATGCACTGCAGAGAACCGTGGGCCTCTAGTTTCTTGGCAAGGGGAGGGCAGAGGAACACAAACTGTGGGTGGACCCCTGTGACAATGTAGATCAGGCACCTAAACCCTCCCTGGTTGAAAAACACTAGTACCATGAATGCTTACAGTTGTTAGTACTGCTGTAGATCCAGGAGGCTGCTAGTTTAAGTTTAATTCCATGGATAATACAGGCTTACGCTGAATAATACCAGGTGGACAAGGACTAGTAGTCTGCTTAGTGCAGGTAAAAAGGATTTGTGTCCAGACCCCTGCTTTGCTGCTCCAGAGAGAAAAACCCGCAACGCCAAGCCAGGAATGTCCAATCCCACACCAGAAACTCGGGCCCGTCCGGACCAGCCTGAGAGTGATGGGTCGTCCGAACCGTCACCCCAGGCTTTGAGGAAGCCACCTGGGCATCTGAAGTTGGCACGCAGCCTTTCTAAATTAGACTGCGACCTGCTGGCTTCCCCTCATTGTGAGGACGTCGGGCCTCTTGGTGGCCGGAGCGAATCCCGGTCCAACTGTGCTGCTGAGAGGAAGGAAATGGAGCAGATGCCCTCGTTTGCCTCTGAATGGGACGAGGTAAGAGCTGATGAACTAAGAGCAGAGGAGGGAGAACATGAGACTTCCTCCCACCAGAGCAGATATGTTAGTAGTTTTGATTTTACTCTGAAAGTTACTTTTAACATACACTAACAGTCAAAAGTTTGGGGTCAGTATGATTTAGTTTTTTGAAAGAAATTAATGCTTTTATTCAGCAAGGATGCATTAAATTGATCAAAAGTGACATTAAAGACATTTATATTACAAAGGATTTTTGAAAAACTTGCTTTTATTTTAAACTTTTCAGATTTTTTTTTTTGCTGTTTTCAACAAAACTATGAAGCATCACAACTGTTTTCAACATTGATACTAATAAGAAACGTTTGCGTGTTACAGTATGTCAGCCTTGTCCAAAATGATAAAAAAATAAATAAATAAATACAACTATGCTAGCCAAGCAAAGTGATAGCATTTTGGAAAATAATATTTTTATTTATTTACTGAAAATTACAGTTTCAAACCTCTCACTTTACCATAGCATAGTCATGTAACAATGTAATGTAATTAGTCTGTTTTTTAGGAGTAATGCAATAACATAACATGTTACGTTTATAAAATTTATACCGGTATACCTACATTACTTTTCTTTTTATGTCATTTATTTTCAGACAAATGCATTTTCCTCCTTCCTTGTAACATTAGCGCAATGGCCTACATAGTCATGTTAACTAAAGATGTTAAAAATTGATTTGCTAATTAAAATAAAGCTGAAATAAAATTGAAATATTAGATGAAAAATTTTAAAAGATAAAAATAAGAAAATTTAAAAGAAAAGAAAATTACAAATGTTTTCTTGGAATCTAACTGAAATAAAATAAGCTGAAGAAAATGTAAAAAAGTAATAAAAAAAACATAAGCACATAAAATATTAATCAAATAATAATATTAATACAAATTAAACTAGAATTAAAATGAAAATTCTAACTTAAAATATTAATAAAAACTATAAAAGTATGTGAATAATACAAAATAACATTGGTTCAGAACAAAACATGTGAGTAAAGGATGACAGAATTTACATTTTTGGTTGAACTATTGAGAGAGTGAGCCGAATAACAGTAACTGTCATGTTATTTTGCATAAAAAGTAACAATGTAACTTTTAGTTTCATTTTTGAAACTTTTATTATGGGCAGTGCATCAATGTAATGTGTTACTTTTAAAAGTAACATTCTCCAGCACTGGTTGTGGGTGGGAAGCTCTAGCAGTGCGTAAGGTTGAGGAGGAAGGGAGGGAGTCTTGACAGTATCAGCGCCGGTGGCTGAATGCTGAACGCTTGACTGGGCCCATCAGTCCTTCTGCTGCTCTATGCTGGCCGCAGCGCACGGGGCTAATTGGGCCTTAACTGTCACTCCACATCTTCTCAGGAAGCTTCCCAGGGGTCGGCCCACGCCGCACACACAGGCGCTCCTCTCCCCTCGCCTCGCGCCAGAGCTTTAGTCATCATCACGCCAAACAGTGCAGCGCTGCCTTCACACCTTGTGCTAATTACAATGACAAACACGCATGTTGATTCAGTCACTGATCGCCATCAGCTGATACTGCTGTAACAATATCTTAACTAGACAAATGTATCCGTTTTTTTCAGTAAATAAGAAAAGGCCTTAAGCCACCTAAACTTGGACGTTATAGTGATTTTTGTTTTAACTTTTAAACCCTGTATTGCACTGCTTTGAGTGGCTTACATAAAACAGCAGCAGATTGCTAAGGTTTTATGGGTTATTGCTATAGGTATTTGTTTAGGTTTACAATCCATGATTGCTTGTCACGATCACCAGCTGGAGTGCCCTTGACAACCAGCAGAGGGCACTCCATCCCATACCTCTGTCACTCAGTCTTGGACTTCATTTCCCATAATCCTTTGCCCGGACTTGTCAGTACTCATTGTTTGCACCTGTGTCTCGTTTAGAGGTCTGCAGGGGCTTTAAAGTGAAGCCCGAACCCGGCCCGTACCCAAGATCGTCTGACCCGACCCGACCCGAGCGGCACAGTTAAATTTAGAGCCTGAACCCGACCCGAACCCAAAACCTTTTTTTTCCCCCCCACAACGAATAGCCAATTTTTAAAAATGCTGTATTTCGCAATTGCATGCAGCGGCCAGTAAGCAAATACATGTGAAGAAACAGAATCATTAAGGCTCGGCCAGTACACAAGGCAAAAGAAAACACTAACACTTACCAGTTATGAAAGTTTATGAACATCAGGTGCAGCGGTCACATAAATTCTGCCGAGAGAATGGTTGTATACGACAAGACGATAATTCTTCCATCGTGCAAATTATGGTCATTTTCGTCAGTTAAGGCTCGTTAGCATTCGGCCTGCTTTAAATCAGACACAGAGATGCAGTGCGGTAAGATCGCATTTATTTGAATTAATTATATCATTTATTTGAATTAGCGCGCGAGAGAGAAAGAGAGAGAGAGAGAGATGAAAGTTGCATGTGTGAACCTGCGTCTGTGCGTCTCTCTCTACAAGCAATGAGGCTTAGTTCCTTCAAAAACAGCGATTTTACCCCCTCATTGCAGAGAAATATAACGTTGCAAGTCAGTAGCCTGTCGAAGCTATTTTACTAATAAAAGTTTCAAATAAAATAAAATGTGTGTGCGTGCGTCTATGAAAACAGCGTAGCCTGCATATAGTTTTAGTTTAGCTATAAACCAGAGTCCGACCCGAACCCGAAGCTATTCATTAAACATTAACAGTATTTAAAAGTATTTCGGGACCCGTCGGGCTCGGGTCGGGTAGCAGACCTCTAGTCTCGTTAACCCTGTCTGCTCATGCTATATAAGCCTGGTTCATTCTGTCACTCATTGTGAAGTCTTGCATGTGTCACAGCTGCAGTTCTAAGCCTTTTATCCTGGTTCTCTTGTGTCTTGTTTTCCTGGTTCTTGATATTCTGCTTGTTTTTCTGGATTGCTCTGTTTGCCTCAGCCCTGAACTCTGTCATTGTTTGGACTGCTTATTGTGTTTGACCTCATGCCTGTTGTGGATTATCCCTCTAATAAACTACTGCACATGGATCCTCAGCCTTCGCGTTCCTGTGCAGTTTTGTGACAGCTTGGATGCTGTTAGGTAGTTGTCCACAAGGTGTATTTATATTCTTATTATTTATTAATCTTGTGAATGTTTTGAGCTTTAGTTTTAATATTTTCAGTTAGAATTTAAATTTTTTGTTTTGGGTTTTGTCTTTTAATTATTTCTTAAATGGTATTTATTAGTATTTCTGTATAGTTTAAATTCATCTTTATTTCATTTCTAATGTTAGTAATTTTAGTACTTTTTTCAGTTATGTAACATTTCAGATTTTCATGTAAAAAAATTTTAATGTTTTTCTTGTAAAATTTATATTTTATTTTGGCCTTATTTCAATTTATAGAAAACAAATTTTAAAAGATTTAGTTTAAAAAGCTTCTAAAAACTATTAAAAACCATTTTTGTTAATTGAAATAAATCTAAAATAAAATATTAATATTAGAAGAAAAGTTATTTCAGTTAGTTGTCAAGACAACATTTCTCATTTTTGTTTACTAAAATTACTAACTGGGAATAAATACAAATTTTAACTGAAATAAAACTAAAATTGAGATAAAAAAATGTATTAAACCTAAATAGCAATATAAAAAAAAAATGACAAAAACATCTAACAAAATTACAAAAATAAAACTTAAAAAGTTAAATATAATAGTAAAAAACTATAATAGTAAAAAAAAAAAAACTAAAACAACACTTTTGCTATGGGGATCTGACTGGTATCTAAGGTGTTGCTAGGCGGTTGCTTTGTTTTTCTAGGTTCTTGCTAGGGTTTAGGTCATTGCTAAACAGACAGATAATGTGGTGACTTGGCGTATTAATATTCAATTCAGTTGTGCAGTCTCATGAGTGCATATTTCAAGTATTTTACAAATCAGTATCATCCAATCAGAATTCAGAATCAAAACTATCCATTTTGTAATAAAAACACTTACCACTTCTTAACTTTGATCACATTTATACTAAAAGCTTTATGAAACATTATTCTCAGGTGGTTCTGGGAAGGATTATATTATCAGATTTTGGAGCATGATTTCAACTGTAGACATAAGCAGTTTAATAGAGCTGCGGTCAGGGTGGAGTGTCCTGTTCTCAGAACATCCTGTTTCACATTATATATAGATGACATCTATAAGTCTGAGAGAGGGAGGGTTTGGAGAAATGACTGGGAGGATGAGGTGGTCCTGCTGTTAACACACCGATACAAACCCACTCAGAGCTGAGCGCTAATATACAGGCAGACAGAGCCAACATGCTGGCACACGCTCACCCACCGCAAAACAGCTGCATCAGCGTTTGTGCGTTAGTCACGGTAATGAATGTTCCTCGGACACAACTTCTGAACTGTGTGATCTTTTTGATTTAAAAAATTTTCTCCTATGCCTGTACCAAGGCTGTATCCAGTATTACTATGGCATCCTTTGATGTGATTGAATTGCAATGTAACTAGCATGGCAAATGAATGAAAATGATAATTTTTTTTAGTACCATGCTAAATACTACGTACCAAAGTATTACAGTGAAACTGAAATGCTTACCATGCTTGACCTTTGACGCCTTCCTCCATGCACATTTTTAACACTGTCAGTGTGACTATAGCAGCCCATAGCTCAGTGTGTTAATGTTTCAGCACTTCTGCAGAAAACCTGTTTAAAAATAATTTTGTGTTTGAGTGAGCGGTCAAACATGCTTTCCACAGATGGCAGTATAAGTCTCTTCATAATTCATATGCAAACGGAAGATGTCAGGGGGAACGTATCTGAAAGATGTGCATGGGGGGAAAAGAAGTGGGCGTCAAATGCTTTCACCTGTCAGAGAGCTTCTGAGACTTTACGGCCCGTTCCACACACACGGCTTGCAAGTTCACTGAGCTTTCTTGCAAATTAGCTGCAATTGCCATTCATTTTTTTTTCTTCAAAAACTAAAGTTATTTGCATTAACATGAATAAAAGAATACAAGTACAGCGAGCAAATAAATGTCAAAAGGTTAACAATGAAAGTTGCCAATTTAACATGCAGGTAATTATAACCAAAATAATGCATTAAAAGCACTAATGCATTTAATCATGCGCCATGACCCGCAAGACTTGGTGCTTGTCACTAAAGATAAATGATTAAAATAATAATGTACACTGAATGCATACTAACTACCTGAACAATTTTTTTTAATAAAACAATTTAGAAGTATGAAATACTTTGATGTCTTGTCTATGCTTTTTAGAATTTTTGAATCTATTTATTATTTTAGCCCAATTTTACAGGCACAAAATTAGAACAGCACAAAGCAAGCATTTGTAAACTGTTTTATACTATATTGAAACTCTTTCAGTAATGCAGGAACCCTAAACTATTTTTTATTTTATATTATTTGATTTAATTTAATTTAATTTTATTTTATTTGATTTTATTTGATTGTTTATTTGTTTGATTTACAGTAATTAATGAATAAATAGTTTAATAAATTAAGTAACTTGTATAATTTAATATATTTATTATTATTATAATTATTTTAATAAAAAATGGATTGACAACCCTAGTTTCAAAATAGTATACAAAAGCTGTTTTTCTGTGCTGTTCTCATTTTTTTGGATGTAAAACTTGGCTAAAATAATGTTTAATTAGAATATACAATACTTTTTATTTTCTGATATGTATGGATTTTCAAAGTACAACAAGGTATTATGTGTTATTAAATGTATTATTTTATATGATTTATTAAATTCTGCTCTTACATTAAATTTGAAGTAATACAGAATGCGCTGTAAAACTTGGTCACAGATAGTTTGGAAGTATCTACTGACAGTCGCATTTACAGATTTACAGTCGCTCTCCATTCTTAGGAATTGTAAAATGGCAAAACATGTAATTTTCAGAATGAGATCATATCCCACTGTCATGGTGTCTCTGCTTTAATCAGAGTGGCTCTGTGGTGTCAGCAAGGCATTGGCCATCACTCCAGTCTCTGAAGCCTGTAATCTTGTTACTACTCTGGCACATCTTTATTACCCCCCGACTTCACATTTTCTCACTGGCTTCTACATATTCACTCATTAGGTTGGACATTGTGTGATGTTCCTTATTGCTGTCTCTGCAGAATGAAAATGCTCGCCTTTCATGAACTGTTTTTGGAACTCTATGGCTGGAGGATACGACCGCAATAACTCTCTCTCTCTCTCTCTCTCTCTCTCTCTCTCTCTCTGTCTTTCTCTACATGAGTCTACACTTCAGAAAATTCCTCAAAAACTAAATTCTACACATTTTGAAGAAATCTGCAGTCAATATATGAAGTCTAAAGTCCTTCATACGCACTGTATGTTTCTAAATGAAAATCTGAAACTCTTCACAAAGCTGTTAAAGGAATATTCTGGGTTAAAATTGCTTTTGATTAAAACACTAAAAATGTTAGACTCGTCCCACTCTTTAAAAAAAGCAAATAATAAAATGCATTGACAGAAATCGAAATCGAAGTTAATGGTTCAGTTATTCCATCTCTGTTAAATGTGTTGTTTTAGGACTTTTTTTTTTGTAATAAGTCCGATACGGGATTATATAGTTAACTAAAACTAAAAACATTATGAATATGCTAATTTATTTTAAAATTCATAACTTGAAATAAAATAAAATATAAAAAATGTATTATATTTCGGAGATTTGCCAAAACATTTATCATTTTTATTTAATCTAACTAAAGCTATAAATAAACTAAAACTAATAAATACAAATTAATTAAAAAACTATTTAGACATTAAAAAACTAATAAAAATTATCAAAACACAGCAACATAAAATCTAATTGAAAATATTATTAAAAACTGTAATGGTATATCAATGTTATTAATGATAATGATTAATGATATTAAATTATACTTGCTTGAATTTATTATATGGTATCTAATTTAAAATACCTACACTGTAAAAAATGACTGTGAATTTAACGGTAAAAGACTGTAAAAATGCTACAGTAAAAACCTGTTAAATGGTTAACGGTAAATTCCCCTACTGTATACGGTGAAAAATTGTATTGGACATTACATGTAATTTTACGATAGTATACCATTTTTGGAAGTGAAAAAGACCGTATAATTTACAGTGAATAAACCTTTCCCAGAATTCTCTGCGTTAGATTTCAAATTTGATGGTCTTTTGTTGAAATAACTATGTTTCTTCTTAGTTTTTTCTTATCAGTTTTGTATATTAGGTTTGTGTGTTACACCTAATGTTGTTAAATGCAGTTTCATGTGTGTTACCATGATGGTGTTTAGTGTTTGTGTGAATGACACTGTGCAAGTTCTATATATGTTATTATTTAAAAGCTGCTTGTGATGGGCTTTGCTTCATCATGTGTCTTTCTCATCACCTCCTGCATTTGGTGGTTATCAGTGTATTACAAAGGTACAAAACAGATTTCAGTACTTCAATTGGTTGGTATAGTAGCATTATATTAGTTAATGAAATTACAGTATTTAACTGTAAATTTAAGTTAAAACCGTAAAACCTAAAATGTTGCTACCGTATTTTTTACGGTAAAATTCCGGCAACCACAGCTGCCGTTTTTTTACCGTAAAATTTTATGGAATTATTTTACAGTGTAGTATAAAATTAAAACAGGATAATTGCTGTATAATATTTCAGATTTTGTATAGTTTATACTGATGCATTTTTGTGTCAAGATAAACATAGAAAGTCAATTTTACAATGTACAATGCTATGCATTTCCAAATAAAACAATATGTGGTGTATGACTTCATTGTATTTATTGGAAGTTGATTAGTTTTACTTTGGAATAGCATGAACTGTACAGAAAAAGACTTGTCTTGCGTTACGAAAAGTAAATTGAGTTCATTTTGATTTCATGTTGACGTAGTCTTCGTTATAGTTCAAGCCTGGTTTTGTATAAATGTCCTGCATTCTCTTAATGTCTTGACTTCTGAACATGTACGAGGAGATGAAGCCTGGAATGAGCACAGACAGCTGAGGGATTCTGGGAAGTGTACCATATAACGGAGTGATGATGCATTGTGCATTCTATAGTGGATAGACATGAGAAGTGTGCAGAAGTAAGTCAGTACAGTATGTAGGTTACTTGAGAGTGGGAAATGCAAAGGCCTCTATGGCTTGAGGGGATCTAGCACGTGGGCCGTGGCATCTGACTGCTAAATGAATCTAGGGGCTTGTCAGCATGTTGATGCCACAAGCACACAGCAGATACATTTGCCAGACTTTAAATATTACATCAAAAACCAGCGTTTTTCTATTTCAGGCCTCTCCTAAAAGTATATTGATTGGAGAGTAATCATCAAGCTTTTACGCGGATGGAAAGTGTTCTTATAAATATGATTTCGGTTTGCTTGTCTAGTCGGTGTGTTTTTTTATATATCACTCGGGGTGCCTGGATTATTAATTGTATTTAGGTTTTTGCTGGTTCCTTTTCGTGAACATTTTCAGTTCTGGTCAGTTCTGATCTTTTTTACTTTTTAGGAAAAGCTCATTTTTCTGCATTTCAGATTCGTCTTGGCAAACAACTGTATGAATTATGAATTGAAATCAGTTCTAAAGGCGTACAATGAAGACTAAACTGTCATGGCAGAGTACAGCGAAATTAAATATTTAACTGCATTTTATAACCCTTCTTTTCTTGATGTTGTATTGTAGATTGAAAAGATCATGAGTCTAATTGCCAGCATCGAGATCTCCAAGGAGCATCACCCTGCATCGGAAGGTAAATATAAGATGTCAACTGAATGACTTTGCAAACTGTGTAATGTATGGATTTTAAAGTAATTATGCAGTTGGTTACCTAAATTGATTTTCAAACTTAGGGTTAGGGATTTTACAATCTTACCACTCAAAAGCAAAAATTACTTCATATCATGCCAAACCTGAATGACCATCTTTTTATCTTTCTATATTTAGCTTTTATTTTTATATTTTCACTTTTGATGTTCAAGTTTTGCTAATTTTGTTATGTGCTTTAGTTTTAAGAATATATATATATATATATTTCTATTTATCTGTTTCTATTTGATCATGACCCAGGACCACAAAACCAGTCATAAGGGTACATTTTTTGAAATTGAGATTTATACATCATCTAAAAGCTGAATAAATAAGCTTTATTAGGATAGGACAATATTTGGCTGAGATACAACTATTTGAAAATCTGGAATCTGAGGGTGCAAAAAAATCTAAATATTGAGAAAATCGCCTTTAAAGTTGTCCTAAAGAAGTCCTTAGCAATGCATATTACTAATCAAAAATTAAGTTTTAATATATTTACGGTAGGAAATTTACTAAATATCTTCATGGAACATGATCTTTACTTAATATCCTAATGATTTTGTGCATAAAAGAAAAATCTATAATTTTGACCCATACAATGTATTTTTGGCTATTGCTACAAATATACCCCAGCGACTTAAGACTGCTTTTGTGCTCCAGGGTCACATTTAACTTAATTTAGTTTTTAGTTTTAGTACATAAACTTACTTTTTTCTGTTAGTTGCCAAGTCAACATTTTTGTTAAAGTTTAATATTTATATTTTATTGTATTTCAGCTATATTTCAAATAATTAAACCATTTTTGATAGTTTTAGTTTTAGTAAATTAGGACAGAATTTTAGTTAACTTCATACCATGGAACTCATCTCTAACTATTTGAAATAAAGACATGAAATAAAATTCTACAGGGTTTGCTGATGTGTTTTTGTTTGTTTGTTTTTGAGAATGTTTTGTATGGCAGAATTTTAGGATATAAAAGCTATATAACCTATAAAACAATGCTACTAAAGTTGCTGAGAAAGCAAGCAATGCATTTTTGTGTTGCATGTTTGTTTTTCTTTCCTTAAAGTAAACAAATGTGTCTTTTTGCAAATATAAAATTAATATGAATACATTTATTATTAAATATTATTTTATTTTTTATTTTAGATTGTTTTATTTGTATTAATGTTATAATATTTTAAATAATATTATATATGAAATATTCTGATACTATTCTGATACCATTGCTGTACCATGGTAATGCCAAAGTACAATGGCATTTACATAATCCAAGGTACTTAAAAAATACTATGATACTATAGTTAGTACAATTCCTGGAGGGCCGGAGCCCTGCAGAGTTTAGATTCAACCCTAATTAAACACACCTGATCCAACTATTTAAGTCATTCAGGCTTATTTGAGAAATGCATGGTGTGTGTGTGTGTGTGTTGGAGCAGGGTTGGCACAAAACTCTGCAGGGCTCCGGCCCTCCAGGAATTGAGTTTGACACCCCTACTATAGTACATCAAAAGCATGGTATTATCATGGTACACGCCCACAAGACCAAGATATTGTTATTTTGCCATGGTACAAGTAAAAAAACACTGAAATTGCTAAAATGATTAGCTCCTTTTTGCTAAATTAAAGTTGCTGAGAAAGACATTGTAATTATTGCATTATTTTGTGTTGCATTTTTTTTTCTTTCCTTAAAAGAGGAAACAAATGTGTCTTTGAAGGAAAAAGTATAGATCTTTAGAGGCAAATGAAAGTCTCGTTAAAGGCAAAAACATTATAAGATTAATTGTGATTTTAATAAATTGACAGCCTGATTATAAATAACATATATGTCTAAACAAATAATCCAACTAATAGTCTAGCCTCTGTGACAGACCACAAAGCTTTGCTTTGGCTGAATCATCCCTCGGGTCAGAACTATTCCACCAGCGTCTTTAACAACCAGCGGTTTTCTTTCTCAAGCACATGCTCTCACTTTTCACCCCAATTTGGTCTGTGTCTGATATTTTTGTACCTGATATTTTGACACAGACACCCTCTGGTACACAATGGGCACTGAGGGCCTACTTTAAAAAGATGAGATCACGATCCATTTACAGTGGCCATCGCAATGATACTCAGTAATTAAGACTTGATATTCTTTTCTTCTTGAGTGGAGCCTCCCAATGTAGTTGCTATATATGGAGAGAGAGCACTATATTTTAATGGACTTTTCTGGGAGAGATACAATTATTTAGAAATTGTAAAGCAGAGGATCACTTCAAAGGAACAGACAGCACTATTGTTGTGTGAAACATTGTCCTTGAAATTCTCATGGGAGTTGAGTTGTTTGCTGTTTGATAAAAATGCCAGTGTTTTCTGAAATATGTGATTTTGTCACCTCAAATTCTCTCTCTCTCTCTCTCTCTCTCTCTCTCTCTCTCTCT